CCCCAAAACCCCAAAACCCCAAAACCCCAAAACCCCAAAACCCCTAAGTGTGTGAATAATGTTGAATTTAAGCAATTAGTACTTCATTATCTTTCTGAGCTTGAAATATTTTGAATAAAAAGACCCCATGTCTCTATTTTCATGAGGCTTTGAATTCAGAATACTTCTTTGGTGAATATTATCAACTCTTTTGTCACTCCTTAGAGCTGATCTAAATGCGGCAAGTAGGTGGATTTCTGTCTGGCGGTTTTCACAAAAATTTATCTCACGAAGAGAGGTAGATGTCTTCTTGTTGAATACATCATTTCTGGTAAAGGGAGAGTCGATTTTTGGACTTTTAAAGTAAGGAGTACCAAATTTTGACTGGATATTAGAATCACGAGATTTTAATGCAGGAGATTCTTCAATTAATAAATCCTCTTTCCCACTATGGTTTTGAGTAGTTTCATACTTTCCAGGGATTATAACTTCAAACTTATTTGTTTTTAGCACTCACTAGAATCTCAGGTTTGATACAATTGCTGTCCATTGAAATATTTCTCATCCTTCCTTGTGGTTGCTGGTTTTCTTTTAAATTATTTAGGATCGCTTGTAAAATAGCTTTTCTTTTTAATTGCAGTCGATTCAGGGCTTAAGTCATTAGGCTTCATTTTGAAATTCCTAACCTTATTCAATACTTTTCCATTGTTTCCGAATTCTCAGAAGGGATTTTCTTTTTTGAACTTGAATTTTAACTTTCATTTACTGTTATAAACTGCGCTATGTAAGCTCAAATTTCTTATGGAAGCTTTTCTTTTTGTCACACCTTCTGGGATTATGTTTATTTTAGGAATTATCTCCTCTTCTATGTCTTCAAGATCAGAATCATGAGTCTCAATAAAGGTTTTGTCTTGTATAAACCCTCTTTCATCATATCTGATAGAAAATTTGCTCATCTTTAACAGAAATATTTAATTAAAATTATGCGTGAGAGATGGGGTTTTGGGGTTTTGGGGTTTTGGGGTTTTGGGG